GGTGAAAGAAACACCTGGTGAAAAGGAGGATGTGGATATCCCTTCTCAGGGGCCGTGGGGGAGTTTGTCTGGGTTGCGATTAAGACGAGGTCGGACTTGGCATTCTGCACAAGCCAGCCATTCTGCACAAGCCAGCTGTCGTTGTGGATCTTCTCGAAGGCCACGGTTTGTGGCGAAAGAAGCTGAAGAGGTCTTCAAGTATCTGGCTGCGACACCTACGCTGGGTATTCCTATGGCAAGGTGACCGCTGGCACAAGGGAGCGCAATGAACTCCTGAGATATCGGTGGAGCATAAAAGTGGCTGAGTCTTATGCTGATGATAGCTTCGCAGCTGGGGAAAATGAGAAGAGTCACTCTGGTGCAGTCGTGGTTTGGGGCAACTGCCCGGTGATGTGGGCAACACAAAGACAGTGAACGGTGGCTTTAAGTACTGCTGAAGCTGAGTTACACGCGTCTGTAAAGGGGGCGACGATGATTCAGTCGTGTACGCCAATAATTGCTTCCCTGGTAGGAACGGAGGAGGAGTCACTGCAAAAAGTGCTGTATACAGATTCTGTTTCAACATGTTCAATTATTCAGTATCCGGCTGGAAGCTGGAGGACGAGACACCTACGGATTCGAGCTGTGGGTGTAAGGTCTCTGGTGGACCGTGGATATATGGTGATTGCACACCTTCGGGGCGAGCATATGCTAGCCGACCTGCTGACCAAGCTCATGAGTGGGCAAGTGTGTGCTAAATTGAAAAGTTTGTGGGGTTTACAGATGCTGGTTCAAGGAACAGACCTGAAGAAGGTTACCATTGCTGCGGTAGTTATGATGGTGGCTGCATCTCTTCAAGGTTTGGCTGCGAATCCCAGCGAAGAGGAACCTTTAACACCTGGCTTTTTCTGCTCTGAGGATGGCATTTGCCTGAAATCGAGTACGTCTACGGCTATGTTTCTGGCACAATGGATTGAAACGACCTTAAACCATCTGGACCTTGGGGTGTACCTGGTGGTGGTGATTTGTTCTGGGAAATGCTTCGTTTTGGTCTACAGCGACTTCGGCGTTGGCTGTGGGGCCAGAAAGTGGTGGTCATTCCTACGAGCGCTACACTGTATACAACGTGGGAGGAAACTGTATGCATGCAAGCAGTGATTGCGATGTTCTGCACTATTCACAACCCAGGGCCAGTCAAAAAGGAGTGAGCGCTGACTTCCTCGGGGGGGAAAGGTTTACCGAAGAGTAGACCTCATCCGTTTGAAGTGAAGAAATCCTCAGCGGTGAAGCTTAGCCAATGGGCTATGGGCCGTCCAATGCGACGAAAAGAGAATGTGTTTCACAGAGCCAAGGGCTGCGGACCGTCCCGCGAGTTGAACATTTTGTGGCTGCTGCCAAAAGTGCAGTTTTTGGCCAATGTTGCCATCTCCAAACGTGCCCCAGGAAACCTGGGACAGGGGGAGTGCGGAGATGGGACTAGAAGTATTATGAAAGGGCAATGTCCCCGTTAAAAACTTTGGCTCAAGATGGCAATGCGCCTGTCAAAGGAAAAGAGTTGTGACTTGGTTTGGGGTTTGTCTTTGCTTGGCCCAGGGAGATTGATCTTGGCGGCCTTTTGGAGTTGTTTTAGGTCCCGTACCATAAACCCGAGCGGCTGATGAAGACAGAGCCGAGGCCGATTGCCACGAAGCTGGCGGCGATGGCCAAGCCTGGCTTGCGGGATTTTTTCTTGGCTTGGCTTTAGGGTTTAGGGTTTAGGTCTTATGGGTTTAAGGTTTAGGGTTGAGGGTTCTAGGGTTGAGGGATTTAGAGACTAAGGATTTTTTGGTTTAGGGTTTAGGGTTTTTAGGGTTTCAAGGTTTTCAGGGTTTTAGGGTCTTAGGGTTTTAGGGCTTTAGGTTTTAGGGTATCTTTGACTGCCCTTTACCCTGGAATCAGGCAATCAGGCTATCTGAAGACAGGATTAAGTAAAAATAGCGGAGGAAGTATTGAGTGCCACGTTCTCACCATGGGAACGGACTTGGGAACATTTACCCCGCCCTTAATATTGCACCCACCCCGACCCCGAATACTCAACATTCCCCATGAGAGTATATTCTGGTATATGGGGGTTTCGGAACTCAAGGTACCTCCCGGGCCACTGGCTACGGGGTCGTTCTCTAAATTCGGCGAATAGGGTTTAAGGTTTAGGGTTTAGGGTTTGGGTTTGGGGCCAGTTTGGGGTCCGTTAAGGGTGCCGGGAATGAAAAAGGGTCATAATGTCGGAAACGACCCAAATCCAGGACCGAAAGATGCGGAAACCCTTACCCTCATTGCAGGGCTGAGTAAACGAGATGGTTTTTTGATTTAGGGCTTAGGGATGCTTAGGGTTTAGGAAGTTTAGGGTTTAGGGGAATTTAGGGTTTACAGGGTTATAAGTGAATCAGATTTCGGGGATTAGGGTTTGGGGTTCAGGGCCAAGTGCAGTCGGGGGCCACGGTGAGTGTAGGGCTGACTCCTGAACCCTTGACCGCAAACCCCTTAAAAACTTGACTCTAAACTCTGAACGCCAAACGCTAAACTGCTAAACGCCTAGGCCCTTCAGACAGCCCCAGAAACACTAGAATCTCAAGTAGAGGCCGACCGCCCGAACCCAACGCTCACAACCCTAAACCCCTAAACCCTGAACCCTACAACCCTAAAGCCCCACACCGTCAACCCTAAACCCGACCTTAAACCTAAAACCCCTAAACCCTAAGCCTAAACCCCAAACGCCCCAATTGTTCGTGGCTTTCTTTTTAGTAAGATTGGTAGGGGTAGCTGGGCTAATAAGGGAACCTCACCAAATGGGTCTAATTACTAGTGTTGCCTAGGGCTTGGGTGTAGTTGCTGCTTTTTTTGGGTAGGGCTTAGGGTCCTTTAACATTCCAGTAACGTCAACTTCTGGGAATGTCCAACCTTTTCGGCCAGGCGGGACATGCTTGAAAGGTTGCGCTTAGGGCTTCAATGATTTGACGTCTTGGGCTCCTAGTTTAGGCAGATAACAAGCTTCCATGCCGAGGCAGACAGTAAAGAGCAGGAGCGGCTCCTAACCATAAACCCTTACCTAAACCCTAAGGTCTTGGATCAATTTAAACGTCAAACTACGAAGGCACGCCTTCGAACAATAAACGGGCCCCATCCGTGAGGCACTGAACACCTCAAATCCCGAGAATCACATCCAACGATCGGCCTTCGACCCTGAACCCTGAACCTGACTCCTGAAGGTCGTGCGGTTGAAGCCTGCTCCAATTCGTGGTTCGTTTAAGCTTAATGTTGAATCCTGATTAGTGTGGTGGCCCGGAAGTGTGATTTTTTTCGTAGGGTTGAGTATCAAGGGCTTTTGTTTCGGGCAAACCCAAGACAGAAACCCCCTAATTGTGGGTTTAGGGTTTAGGGTAGCAGCCTCACGAACTCGAACCCAAAACGCAACACGAAAAGCCAACTCCAAGACTCAACCTTAAGACTCAACTCCAATGCTGAACCTTGTTCCGTTCCTCCCTCCCTGGGCAAGGCAAAGGGTTCAGGGTGTACCAGGACTGACCTCTGGCCAATCGCACGCACTGGCAACACGGACGTAATCATCGTTCCGCCATGGATGCTCTGGTCAAACCGGATGCACTGGTGACACGTACGTAATCATGGTTCGGCCATGGATGCTCTGGCCAAGCGACGCTGCGCACAAAGATGTGTTCGGCGTGCTCGCGCACGCGGAATTCGGAGGCGCGGAAAACGCGGAGATCGGAGGCGCCGAAAAATAACGACGGCCCCGATGTTTTCGGCATGTCAACCGCGCGAAACCTCGTAAATACCGAGTTAATCGGCATGGTCGCGAACGCGGAAATCAGGAGCGCAGAAAACACCGACGGCACCGATGTTTTCCTCACGTCAACCACGCGAAAGTTCGAGCAAATCGGCATGTGCGTTTTGCATGCGAACGCGGCGTCAGCCCAGCCCGCTAGGATCCCTTACTCACTCGCTTATGTGGCGGGGCCGGGCAATAGATTTTTAAAGGGGGCTGTCCACGAGCATCCAAAAATCTCAATTTATTAAAAAGGTCTGGTGGCCCGGAATTTTATAAAGCTTCCGGAGAGGGGCTCTCCCTCTTCCACCCTCTCTTCTTTCATCTCCTCTTCGCCCCCCCCCCCCTCCCCGAAACCCTCCCCCCCCCACCAAAAAAAACAGACTAAAAAACAGACTACCTAATTGTTTGGGGGGGGGGGGGGGTTACACTAACCAGGATACGACTTTAGGGTTTAGGAGCAGAACAGCCTAACACCGGCAGGTACTCGCCATCATTCCAAGAGAGGCAACCGCATGGAACGTGTGCAGCACACATGGGCAATTATCGGCCCCTAGATCTAAGCAATATCCTCCCTCAAGAGGCGCCGGCGGCACAACCACGGGTCGAGCCAGAACCACACCTGGCGGTTGAAAATAGTTATGGGCCTTTTGGGGATGTCTATTTTGTGTATTCCTTATAGTTTAGGGTGCCTAAACAAGGGTCCCTAATTTTTTTCTACCTCCACATGCAACACGTTCAACACGTCGATGTGGTTTAGGGTTCAGGTTTCAAGGTGTAAGAGTTTAGGGTTTATGGGTTTAGAAGTTCAGGGTTTGCAGGGCTTAGGAGGTTTAGAGCTTGGGGTGGAAAGTTCTACAAGCTCCAAAGCGCAATTCGTAAACGCCAGAAACTGAAAGCCCTTTCGGCCCAAATGGAAAGGCAACTTTCCGATGCCCCCTAAACTCTACACTCCAAGCTCAAAATGTTCAAAAGGGTTTCGGGTTTAGGGTCTGTAGGGTTTAGGTGATGAAAGGTGGTGGTTTGTAAAGAATGATCGCTGCCGGCCCTCCGCTTTTTCTTTCAGTCGCTGTAGAGCAGCGAGCAAGTGATAGGCATGAAGCCACGTTCGATGTAAGCACAGAGGCCATCGAGCATATCACACTACAACATGTCGACGTTTGCTTTGAGTGGAAAATTCGGGAGCCGCCTTTGTGCTGCCATGGAACCACATGCACCCTTGGGACCCACCTCATCAGATGACGACATGGATCATGCCTTTCAACAGATTATGACAGCCCAAGTTGCTGCTGCCCTGCGCATTTGGATGCGAGCATTGGGGGTCGTGGAGACGCAGGACTTCATGATATGATACGGAATGCTGACGCTAGATCAACGAGTCTGGCACCGTCAGCTGCGAACCATGGAAGGGAGGACAACGCTGCCTCTCCGGCTTTGGTATTCTACTCGTCGTTGGGCTCCAGCCTGCTCTCACCTCCTGGTGGACCATGGCCTGAGCACTTCCAGCAGTTCCAGACACTGCCGTCGACGCCCTATGAAAAAACTCTCCCAAACACATCATCCAGTGCGGCGGCGTCGCTTGCTCATCGTCCCGTAGATCGAACCAAATCGCTCGCGCCTGAGTCCGGTGGTTGCTCCAGCAAAAGCGACGACCCTGGGAGCAGTGAAGGAGCCAGGTCTCCTCGGACACTAACAGGTCCCGCTCGCAACATCATGAGGGAACAGCCTGGACGACATCGCCAATTGGTACGTCCTTGATGCCGCCGGCTACAAGTCAGCACCTGCAACATGTTTCCCCGCTTCTTCAAGGACCTCAGCCAACTGTCAGTCAGCAGCCGTGTACCACTTCAGAAGGAACTTCAGATTCTGTACGTCGTGAGGACGCGCAGGCTGAGGTTCGGCGTCAACTAAGTGGCGTGTTGGGACAGTTGCAAGAGGAAAGGTTGCGTGCCGAGAATGCCCTGGCTCAGGCTCAGCGTATGAGGCAACAGCTGGAGAGGGAACGGACGCGCGCTGCAGGTGGGGATTTGAGCGGCATGCCGGATGGGGTACCAGTTTTTCCGGTGACAAGGCAAGATGATGGTGGTTTTGATGGACATGTGGGTTTTGAGAGAAGTGAAGGCCGAGATGCGGGATGGACGGCTTTACCCATCCCAGGCCAGGGTCCGGTGGGACCTAACCCGGTCGCTGGAGGTGGTGGACTGACGGCCATTAACTCGGGCGCAATGTCGGGGGATCGAGGGAAATCCGCTTGGACTTTTGGGTCAAGAGACCCGTGGAAATTCAAGAGTGCAAGTTCAATCTCCTGGACTACCTGAGCAATCACGTGCACTGCCTGGGCGAGCGGCCATGGGTTCGCATCAGGATTGCTTGGGGGGCAAGCTCAATCTCATGGACTACCAGAGCAATCACGCGCACTACCTGGGCCTAGGATAGATGAATCGCTGAGGCAAGGGAGTGTTGGTGGTCCTGTAGGATTTCCAGGGCAAGTTTACTCTCGTGGACTACCGGAGCAATCACATGCACTACCTGGTCTCTTACTGAACAGCACCGGGTGAACTCTGGAGGCGTTTACGAATCCCAGTTTGGTCGGTCCCTTCGTGATCTTTTCCACCTCGCAATGCACCAGGTCCAGAAAGCGTGGGACCTGATGGTATGACTACTGCAGACTGGGTGTTGCTGTCGATGGCCAAAGGAATCGAGGAGCTCTTGAAGAAGAACCAAGGAGCTGCAAAACCTGGGCAGCCCGAAGCTGTTAAGCCTGGGGCGCAGGAACTTCCGAAGCTCCCGGAGTATGACCCCGAGACAGCGGCCATCGACATGGTGCATTGGACGCCGCACATTGGTCCGATTCTTGAAGATATCTCTGACACTTCGGGGCTGCGGTGGGGAGACGCTGCGACAATCCTCGTTGTGGTATCAGGAGTTTGCAGCAGCCAGTCCTTTGCAGCGGTTGCAGTTGAAGCCGGTCGCTGAGGGCCAGTTGCAAAAACCCGAATGGTCAAGGGTGGAGCGAAGGGCAGTGGCCATGCTGTTGTCAGCCATTCCAGATTCCTTGAGGCGTGACATCATCACCCACGGTGACATGACAGCAATGGGGGTGATGTGCAGGATCTTGACGGTGTACCAGCCGGGCAACAAGCAGGAGAAGTCCTTAATCCTCAAGAATCTGGAGTCCCCGGGTGAAAGTACGTCTTCGTCTCACGCAGCTCAGGGGCTTCGCCGGTGGTTGTTGTGGTTGAAGAGGGCACGTACGTTGGGTATTGTGGAACCTGATGCTTCTATCCTGATGAAGGGCCTCGACAAGTTAACGCAGCGGGTGATCCGGTCGGACAGCGAGCTCGCGTTCAGAGTGTCCTTGGTGAGAGCTTCGCTACAGGTGGATAACAATCCCCAGCCCTCTACGGTGCTGCAATATCATCAACACCTTTTAGCTGAGTTGGAGACCCAGGCAGGGACCACTACCAAGGAGCCTTCGTCATCCTCGACCACTACGCCTGCGATCAAGGATCTGACAGCAGCGCCAGGCCTGAGTACGAGTCCGGAGCAATCACCGAAATCCCCTTCGCCTACCAGCACCTCGGATGTGTGTCGGTTCTACCTGAAAGACAAGGGCTGCAATAGGGGAACAAGTGTCGTTACAAGCACTCTATGGCTGGGCTTTCGAAGGAGGAGAAGAAGGCAAAGTGTTTGGCGTGTGGTTCTACAAGCCATATAGCCAAGGATTGCACAGTGCCCGGTTCCAAGCGGAAGGAGAAGGAAACGGCCGCAGAGTCAGGACGTGAAGCTTCGACGACTTCCTCAACTGCTACCACAGCTATGGGTGCCGATGGAACGTTGACTGCTACAGGTGGTCAGAGACCCATGAAGGCGATCGCGTTTGAGAGCCCGGAGGCCACGGAGATGAAGAGTCTGATGACTAAGGCGTTGGAGGAGATACGCCGTGTGCAAGTTCTACGTGTGGATGGAACTGTGGAAGGTCCTGGGGAGCGCATGCACTTCGAGGAGCCTCGGAGTGGGAGAGATTGTCTTCGAAGCATGTGGACGTGACACTGGCTGGTGAAGGCAAGGCAACAACGCAGCAGTCCGACTGGTGGACTCAAAAACCCCAGGGTTGCAAACAATCGTCCCGCTCGGCAAGGTGATTGACTCCTTGAAATACGCGTAGTCGTGGACTTCGGAGGGCTGTTGGCTCATTTGTCCTGATGGAAAGCAGGAGAAGCTGCAGCAATTGAGGGATGTGACTGCGGCCTCAGCCCGACACTTGCAGGAGGTCACTGTGAGCTGGTGGACAGCGCTGCAACGATATGTGGACACCCGGGACGTGAAGGATATGAAGGAGGCGATCAATAAGGCGGCATTCCTGAAGGCCTTGGATGAGGAGGAGACGGTTCTGCTCCATGACTTCGGCAATATGGAACCATGGGAACGCTTCAAGGCCTTGCCGGTCAATCGTCGTCGACGGAAGCGTCTCGGCACGCACGATGCAGTGGTGCTGGACCTGGACAGGATCAAGGGAGATCTTCCGGAGGAGGAACTTTGGAAGGTGTTATTAAAGTACGGGCGGCGCTGGAGGGGAAGATTTCAGCTATGGTGCTGCAGGACTTGGCCCGCAGTGAGTCGCAACATCGTGAAGACGAACCCTTTAGGGCGAAGGTGCACTACTACATTGGCGAGATTTCGCAAGAAGATCAGTGGAGGTCGCATCGAGACGGCCTTAGTCTTGGAGAAGCCTGCCTCGAAGAAGGTGGGTGCAACCTGGGCGGCGGATGGATCTTATCAATCGTTTGTCGAGGAGGCAGGCATTGAGGGTTGGCCAGTGAGGCGGCTTGGAGAACCCATGTTCTCAACAGTCACCAGCCGTTTGAACGCACCTGTGCTGTCTGCGTGAGGAACGCGGCAGCGGGGCGACAGCATAGATCAAGCCTCCATCCCATGGCCTACACGTTGAGCATTGATGTTGCTGGCCCTCTGAAGCATCAAGGAGTCACTCCGGATTCAAAGGGATTGCGATACTTCCTGAGAGGGGCCTACAGGTTTCCGCGTCTTGAAGGAGTTAGTCCTGAGGCTGGTTTCCCATTGCTGAAAGATGAGGACGAGGAGTTCTCGGACGGGGAGGAGCAGCCTGGAGATGTGGATGCGTTTGGGGCAGGCGTTGAACCCGGTCCGGATGAAACGCTAGAGGATGGTATGCCGTCTGAGGAGGAGGAGGAAAAGAAAGCGTGGAAGAAGATGAGGGAAGGATTCACGACTCCCATCCCCTTGGACACTGCTTACTTCGCGGCGCCGATGAGGAACAAGAAAGCCACCAGTGTTTTACCAGCATTGCAGAGGATCTATGTGGATGCGAAGGCCCTTGGATTTCCAATGCACCGAGTACATGGAGATAGAGCTGGTGAGCTGCGGAGTAAGATGGTCAGGAACTGGGTCTTGGGAAAGGGAATGTTGCCTACGACCACGGAGGGCGACAACCCGGCGTCGAACGGTGCAGCGGAAGCGGGCGTGAAATATTTGAAAAAACGGGTCAGAGTACTTCTTGACTCGGGCGCAGTGCACAAATCCGCGTGGCCGCTTGCACTAAATGCCGCCGCTTCGATCCAATGGTGCGACAGGATGGGCTTGCCAAGCCCAATGGTGGCGCCTTTCGGTTCTCCTTGCTGCGTTAAGATCGAGCGCTACAAAACTGGAGCGGTTGAAGATTTGGGACCGAAGTGGACAAGGGAGAAATACCTGGGGCCATCGACGGATGTTCGAGGTGGACATTGCATCTTGAAGGATGGAGGGGGGGTATGTTCAGACCGCCCACGTGAGGACCCGTGGAACCACCACCACTGAAGGATGTGGCTCCTCCCTTGGTCGTGGAACCGGCATGGAGACTGAAGTCAACGACAAAGCCCTCGGATGTGAAGGATCCTCCCAGACCTTCGGCAAGGGAGTCCTCCGCTTCTCCTGCGCGTGAAGCACTACCACGACGGCGCCGGATCGGAACAACCACCTGATCGAAGAGAAGATTCACCATCGTCAAGGACCATAGAACCTTCTTCTTCGCCACGAAGTTCGTCCACACCAATGATTTGAGCCGTGCGGTCTCGAGCCAGAAGTCGGGAAACACTTGCTGAGGTAAAGGCTCTTGCTCAACATCTGCTGAGCATGGAAGATTTCTCGAAGGAGGGATGCTTGGAGATGTTAGAGAAGTTGGTGGTGGCAGCAAAGGTGAGAACGCGAAGAGGAGAAGGTTGTTTCCAAGCTTTTGGAGCCTATTGCCAGGGGGGGAAATAGAGGTATTACGGTCCAGACCCGGAACAAGGAACCAGTCGTGAAGTACCTGAATGAATAATTACCTCAAAAGGGCTACCGACCACTTTCCGGAGGGCTCCGTCACATAGGCAACGCTGGGGGTGTTCACGGGCAATGCAATTCCTCCGCACACTGATGCGCATATTCAACGAGGGTCTTGGAACTATGTGGTGGAGATCTCGGATAGGTCGCAGCGGGGACTATGGGTATCTGGAGATGATCAGTCAAATCCTACGAGGGGTGTCGCTGAGAGGGGTGAAGCGATTCAACAACTACCTGATGGAAGTCAATGTTCGGGGCGTTACTACAACATTGCGGAGCGTGCCACCGGCTTCAACCCGAAGAAATTCTACGGCTTCACTCCCAACTCGGCAAATGATTGGTTGCTGGTTGGTTATACGCCCTCTGGAGTGGAAAAGTTGATGGAGGAGGACCGAGAGCGACTGATGGAGTTAGGGTTCCTCTTGAACCGGAATCTCCACTTGAGGGGGAGGAGGGCGAAGAGGATGATGATGACGACCCCGACGATGACGACACCGAAGACGAGGAAGAAAAGATCCCTGATGACCCTGATCCTGACTAGTACAATGAGCTGTCGGAGGACGAGTACACGGATCGTGACGATGAGGAGCCCCGAGGAGAACACCGAGCCAATGGACGCAGTGTGCTAGGGCGGTGATGGCCGTGATCCGACAACTTAATATCCAGGTCGAAACGCTGGCGTTGCAGATCGACAATATGGCGGCGGTTGGACTCAGTTCCGACGGGGCTGGGTCATGGAGGACCCGTCATTTGAAGGTCCGTGCCTCGTACCTGCGTGAACAGGCCCAATCCGGATTCCTGAAGGTCCTTCACTGCAAAGGCCAATTCCAAAGGCCGACTTATTGACAAAAGCCCTGCCCAAGGATCGCCACGAGGAGTTGCGCCGTCAATGGGGACTACAAACGTTGGTTTCATCGGGCTTGACGGCCAAGATCCTCCGGATATTGTTGCTGTGTGGTTGGATTTGTGGGGCGAAGGCTGAAACCTTGGAGGCACCGTTGCAGTTGGATGGCTCAATCGAGTTCTATGCCCTCATGATGATGGCGTCTATTGCGATGGTGGGTGTCTGGGAGCTCATGAGGTGGGCTTATGGCAAGGCCTCCAAGTGGTTAGGTCGTCGTTGGGATCCTAGGAGGAATCGGCATTTGGAACGGCTTCGCAACATGGTGGAGGACGAGTTGGCGGAGCAACTCAATGATCGTCTTCAATGGTCTGCTCCACAGCCTATGATGGTGGACGCTGAGGTCCAGTGCAACATGGGCATGACGCGGTTGATGTCAGTTGAGCCTACGAGGGTGGAGATTCGTGAAGTTGAACGAGAGGTTCAAACGTGGCATCCGGGACCGTGCTATGTCTCGAATGGAGGAGACCACGTGCACGTCATGAGGGACTGTTGGGGCCTTCGGAATGCTGCACATGTTCAAGTTCGCACATTTTGTGCTTGCTGCCGAAATGGAGGTCGGCAGCTCTACCCAGCAAGAACGATTTGATGATATGTATAGTGGAGTGAAGTGACCTGGCGGACAAATCAGGAGGAGTGATGAAAGGTGGTGGTTTGTAATGCCGGCCCTCCGCTTTTTCTTTCAGTCGCTGTAGAGCAGCGAGCAACTGATAGGCATGAAGCCATGTTCGATGTATGCACAGAGGCCATCGAGCATATCACACTACAACATGTCGACGTTCGCTTTGAGTGGAAAATTCGGGAGCCGCCTTTGTGCTGCCATGGAACCACATGCACCCTTGGGACCCACCTCATCAGATGACGACATGGATCATGCCTTTCAACATTAGGGTTTAGGGTCTAGGGGCTCTTCTTGACCCGAAGCCCACTTTCCTTGTCATGAAATGAACCCTAAGCCTCTTTGACAGTCCAGGGCTTCTCTTTTGGGTTGTTGAGTTCATCATAAGGGCCTAGGGGTTAGACTTAGCGTCTTGCCTTTATAGTAACTTAATGTACCTGCTGGAGACGACTAATAAACCTGTAACATCGTATTCTTGGGAGAGTAACCGAGAATCCCAATACATAGCTAAAACTGGGCTTGTAGGGCGGTGTCCCCAAACCCTTCTTGGCCGCCATCAGGGTTTCGGGCTCTCGAAAGTCCGCTCCGCCTGGTGCTGCGCGCAAGGCCCAGGTTGGAGCCTGAATGACATGGCCAGTTTAGGGTTTCGAGCTCAGGGTTTAAGGTTACGTCCCTGTTAAGTACCTTCAACATCTCGGGGTCGTATTATAATCGGAGCCTAAACCCTGAAACCTAAACACAAAACTTAGATACTGACCACATGGCATCGTGTCTGATGGCCGGGGGGCTCGATGGTGTTTGGGTTTTGGGTTTTGGGTTCAGGACTGCGCACTTGCGATTCAGCGAGCTTCCCTAGACTACCCTAGTCCCTCAACCCCGTCTGGCCATAAATCACACAAGCCCAGCAAACAAGGATCGGGACTAGGGATTGAAGAACCACCCTACACCCTATGTAAACCCTAACCACTAGACCCTAAACCCTACCAGCATGCAGAGGTTTAAGGTTTTTAGGGTTTGGGTTTCAGGGTTCAGGGTGAGAATCAAAAAGGGTCCTGTCTGTTTCCTGCAAAGTCCCAGTCCCAGATCCAGGGCATCACGCGCCAACTCTTACAGTTGGAATTAAGGGTTTAGGGCTGAAGGTTTAGGGAGTATTCGTAGACTTTAGACCCCAGAGTAAATATAATTGGTTATACCACAACCCTAAACGGGTCAAGAAGGGGTTGGGGGCACCGCATCTGCACTGGTGCTGGAATGGCGGTGAAGACCGTGGGCGGAATACCAAGCTCCCACGTGGAAAGCATAAGGTTTGCGATATAGGGTTTAGGGTTCAGGTAGGGTTTTAGGGCTTGGGGCTTGGGGTTTAGGGATTTAAGGTTTAGGGTTCCGGGTTTTAGGGTTCAGGTGTGGGGACGACAATTCCAGCTACGGGTCAAGCTGGAGCTTCTGGCTATGCGCGTCTCTAGGCCAGTCTTGCTCGGCTTTGGAGATATGGTTTAGGGCTTAGGGTCAGTCTTCGGGTAAAGAGACCTTCGCAGGAAGCTTTCGGAACACGACGAGGTGTTCGTGGCAATGCCAAGAAGCTCTCTTAGGTAGGCTTCAGTAGGCTTCAACCCACGCCCCCGAATATTTTGGGGTTTGATTAGGGCTCCCAATAATCTTACGGCCCTAAAACCCTAAACCCTATAAACCCTATAAACCCTAAACCCTATAAACCCTAAACTAAACCCTAAACCCTGCTTGTCAGCCCCCCTAGATGCAAGGCACATAACAAAGGACTCGAAAAACAAACTGACCATATGGGGAGTTTCCGAAATTAGTGTACCTTCTTGGGGTCCTGATTATGAGGGGATCCTCTTCCTGGGGATCTTTCCCCAAACAGTTGTACTGTTGGGGTCCTAGATTCGTTTAAGGAATTGCCGGTTGTTGGCATTCTGGTAGGCGTTGCCGGGTTCCTGGGTTTCTTGTCTCCCTTTGTCTCCCCTTGTCTCCCTTCATGTGGGAGGCCCTTTGCCGGGTTCCTGAGCGTCTTGTCTCCCGTTGTCTGGGTTTAGGGTTTAGTGTAGGTCCCGGGTTTAGGGGTTGCGGGCTTAGTGTCTAAAGAGTGTCTGTGTACTCCCAAAATGCGAAACCCTTATAAACCCCAATGCCCTAAACCTTCAAGGATTCGGGCACCGGCCTGGGCCGGAAAATGGGCCGGAGAATGGGCCGCCTGGTACCTTTCGGGGGAACTAAAGCCCCTGGGCTGGCTCGTAAAACCAAGAGAGAAATGTTCCTAAATAGGATCCTGCGACCCAATGAGGGAAAGTTTGTTAAACAACTCTCAAGGGCCAACTTAGACCCTAAACCCTAAACTCTTAACGCTGAACCGTAAACCTATAGGGCTTATAGACTTTTAGAGTTCAGGGCTCAGTCTACCTAGACCACGACATTGCGTTTGTGGGTACTTTGGGAGTTTAGGGTTTAGGGCTTATAGGGTTTAGGGCTTAGGGATTAGGGAACAAAGAGGGCTTGAGGTTTTCTTGGGTCCCCGCTTCGATTGCTGCAACTCTGCAATGTCTGGAGTGATGCTGTTGAACGGGCTCTATATTTTTTGGGGGTTAAGGCCTTCTTGGGGGGCGGGGATTCAAGGTCAAAATTTTGGGGCTCAAGACTTCGCCGCGCCCCTCACAATAATTTCTCCGGGCAATAAACAGAACGATGCAAGGGTGCTTCAAACATGTTACAGCATAGAGGCAGGTGCAGTGTATTCGAGCATTTCCGACAACACATGTGCGTGCGCGCGGGGCGCCATAATCGAGGACACCAGCGTACATCTTATCAAGTCTCTGCATCCTACTACACAGCTCCAGTTTCCCTATCCACGATCCCTTTGCGGACTGAATGAACCCTAAAAAATGTTTTTCAGTTTATGGTCCATGCACCCTAGGGAACACAGTAGCACGGGGCGCATGATCCCAACTTTAGGGTTCTTATGGTCCCCCAAAGTCATGATCCCAATCTCCGACATCACTCGTCCTAAAACCTTAAACCCTAAACCCGACTTGGGCAACCCCTGCTTCTAATTTGGGGGGGTTGAGTCCAAACTATGGGCCCTTTTGGGCGGGAACCTAAACTCTAAGGAATATTGCATTCTAGAAACCAAAAATTTCGAGAAACCCTCAATTTGCTTCCGAGAAGCATGATCTTCCCTGGCAGTGTTTAGGGTTTGGTGTTTAGGTTTAGGGATCCGCGACGCGCAATGACTATAAGCTTACCCCTTCTGTTCAAGCGGTAAACCCTTCTGTTCAAGAGGTAGCACGATGCCGCCGAGCAATCATAGGTATGTTGCCCCAAACAAGCATACCCCTGAAGGCAGCGACAATATCATCCAGGGTCTTCAGTCTGCTTTGCCGACCTTTGCTGCTTCTGTAGGCCGTCTGTATGTAAGTCCTGTACAGCAAAGACAAAGAAACGCTGCCAGCTAGCGAGTCCAACACCTCAACACTGATCTTAAACTATACGGCGTGACACCTTGTTGATTATAAAGTCCGTCCTGTCGCGAGAAGGCTCCGAGCCTAAAACTGCCTGCTTTTTTGGTTTCACTCTGAACTGGCTCGAAAAGGCAGCCGCAAGAACTCTTAGGGCTTGCGCCCTCATTCCTAAACCCTAAACCCCGAAACCCTTGATCAGCCTTGCAACGTGAAAGCCCAAACGTGCAGGCCCCCACCAGGAGCAGGCTTTGGCCTGGGTTTGGTAGAGCTGTTGGGGCAACTTTTGGTTCAAGGTTCAGGGTTTAGGGCGTAGGGTTTAGGGCATGGCTCTGGTTGAAGGGCTCGCCCAGAAGCCACTTATAAAAGGTGTTAGGGTTTAGCATTTACGGTTTAGGGTATATTTTGGCTTGCGGGCCCAAAAAACCTAGAATAAGAGCCCTTACAGCCTTATTCTCGGTTGGCTTTGTGGGGAGCTTCTTCGAGCTTTGGGCTTAAGGTTTAGGCTTAAGGGGCGTCTAGGGCTGGAGCGGTCCAGGGGCTGAGGGGGCTTAGGGTTTGGCCCTAGACACCAACCCTCCAATCTGGATCCCTCTGAAAGACTCAGCCTAGACTAAACCCGAAACCTTTAGGTTTTAGGGTTGCAGGGTTTAGGGGTTAGGGTGAGGTTTGAGGGTTTTAAGGGATGAGGGTTTAGGGGTTCAGGGCTTCCGGGTTTAGGGTCCCCTTAGTATCGAAAGGACAAAGGGATGCCATCTTTGCAATCCCCTTCCCCTAATAGGAACCGGCCGTGAACATCTGAGTGTCAGGTTTCTTTAAGTGGTTAGGCCCCTAGGTCGGCAACCCTCTGAAACATATTCCGAACAAGGATCCTCTTAAACCCAATAAGTGAGCATATAATATACCCCAAGGGCCACCTAAAACCCTGAACTTAGGGTGTAGGGCTGGGGCGTCTGAAGATGTGTAGGGTCATACCTTGGAGAGCAACAGACGAGTAAAATCCCCATTCCAGCCTATGGACCATAAACCCTTCTAGCGTTCATGTAGTCCCCAAGGTAAGTCAGTCAGGGGTCTTAAACCCTAAACCACAATTCTAATGTCTTGGCTCAGGAATGCGCTCGATGAAGGCCTGTCTCAAGGCAAGGAAAGCCGAGTATGAATCATCACAGGAGATTTCAGCCTAATCATATCCGCACATCCTAAACAAAAATCAAAATGATAGCGACGTTCGGAGTTTGTTTGCGGAGTTGGGGCGATCTAGGGTTTGGAGTCTAGGCGTTGAGGCCTTCCGCGTCTTTGAGTTTCAGGGATCACAACTCAGCATCTCCAGGGTTTGGGGTTTTGGATTCGTTTCTTTGGGGGCCTAGGGGCTTGTGGCCGCGACGGAGTTCACCACAAACCAAATCTGACAGAGTTCAAGGTCAGATGTGTAGGGGTGTATTGTCAGTCTTGTCAGCTGACTGGAATCGCTCCTCTGCGCCCATTTTTTCCCAGAGCCTAGGA